CTATTTACAGAACAATCAGCTGTTCTGCATTCAGTAAGATGCCACACAAATTATTTGTGCCACCCAAAAAAAATAATTCCTGTCCACTATAAAGGAGAAAATCAGAGCCTGATACCTGCAGGTCTGACAGCAGCAGGTGTATCACTCCTTGTTGCTTTGTCATCTTGAAGTGGTTATGTGATTGGCTTACCACGACTACTTTATTCTTCCTCAGTCAAACAGCAGCGCTCATGCAATTGTTTTGCCCCCTTAGCTCCAGGTGTTGTGCTAGACAGTGATCGTGATTACCGTCCGCGGGAGCGCGCAGCTGCTTAAAGCTGTAGCATCCAGATTACTCACAGCTACTTCCATGCAACTGATATAAGATGCAGTAAGCTGAACACAGCTTCAACCGTCTGTTTGTTGAAAAATAGTAACGGACCGCGTTTTCTTGTTAGTAACGGTAACGGCGTTGTAACGATAGGAATAGTAATTAGTTGGATTACTCGATACTGAAAAAACGCCGTTATTCCCATCACTGCATATACGGGTATCACCCTATCAATTACAAGCAAACATGCAGCTTCCATGTGTTTTTTTCCTAGAGGAAACAGATTAGCAAGATCACTGATTAGCATCACACCCCAGTAAGATTTACAAATGTAAAGTGTAAAACATGTGAACTGTGTGGCCGGATCCATCATTCCTGTCACAATCATCAAACACCTGGGTGAGCTTTTGTAAAGAGCAATATCAAAGAGTGACCAATGGGAACATTTTGGAGAAAGGCTGAGCGGTGGTGCCGTATCCACTTCTTCGAATATATCCATGAATTGTGTGGCTCACAACTGAGCTCCTTTAAGTTTCTCTTATTTGGCCTTCATCAACCTGATTCTTAGCCACAACAGGCAGCTGTTTCCAGCTAAAAGGGTTGCCAAACCCAGTGTGATGTACCAAATAACATGCCACATCAAGTAACAGACTGAGTGCTGAACATAGTGGAGACTCCTCATAAAAGAGGCACTGTGATGTCACCCAAGTGTTTGAACAGTCTGTATTTTAAATCCTCAAGCAGAGCAGTTTCACTGTTGCCATATGGAAAGTGTGCAGGTCATATATGACTGTAAATCAAGAGAGTGCGCTCTGATATGGGACATAAGACATAAGGTACATCTGCACTAAAGCAAAGCCTGCTTTATTGTTCTTCTAGACATTAAAGAGGTCCCAAATTTACAAAAGAAACTACATGCTGTGCTTAATATGACTCGAAACTAGGGACCAAAACCACGAACTCTACAGGATGATGTTTACTGAGGTCATTAAATCAAATGAGCTGCAAGTTCCTTTCCTCGTATATTTCTATGCTAGTGGACTTCCTTTCTGCAGCCAGATTAGTCGCCCCCTGCTGTTCATTAGAAAGAATGCAAGCCTGAAAACAGCCATTTCTATGAAATTAAATAAAAATATAAAAATTAGACTTTTTTCATTTATATTTGTATTAAACAGTTTCTTTTTCCATAGAATGCCTTTTTTTCAACAAAAGTATTCAAATAGTGAGCAGGAGAGAAAGGTGAAGCAGATGAACTGCATAAAGATTAATTTGTAGATACGCTTTGTGAGTAAACATCAATCAAACAGATCATGAGCAGATCAGGTACAGGTGATGGGGATATGTGAAGCTTTGCAAGATTTGTGATTAAGTGATTCACCTCAGGTCTTTTTAATTAGATTCAAACACACAAAGCCTTTGGCGAGAGCCAAATTGGAGGCTAATTGTGCATGTGATTTGCCAGAGAAGATAACAGGTATCTGCGAATTTCATAGAGCCCATCTTTACAGCTTGATTAGATTGCTGTGATTACCCTGGGTTGCCTGGATTAGGTTTGATTGGATCAGCTTTTTGATTATGTACCCTCGTGCCTCCGTCTGTCTTTTGACTGACAGATTTTCTCTGTCTTGTGTGCATGTTTTATTGTTGTCAGATGTCACTTTTTGCAAATGTTAAAAATGCTGATGCATATCTGTCTTTCTGCCTCTCTGTGTGTCTGTACGTCAGGCATTTGAGCGCTCGGAGAGCTCCGAGGTAATCTTTGTCACGGAGTTGGTGAAAAAGCTTCTGATCATCATCGCCAGACCTGCAAGGCTTTTGGAGTGTCTGGTAGGATCACACTCACACTTATCAGTATTTACCCACCCATCGACTGCTGCGATGATCACAATCCTCCTCCAGCCCCATGATTCATCACAGAACTTCTCACAGCTCCTGTGACTCGAGGCAAATTGCTTTATTTTTAAAAAGCAATCATCAGCGCAAAAACATATTTGTAGCCCCTTATGAGCATTTTAACAGTCTGATTTTATACACAGCAGGAATGTGAAATGAAAACAAGCAAACCAGTCTAAGACTTGGTCCAGTCTGTCTGGATGGCGGAGACATTTGCATTTAGATTAAATTTGCCTTCCCAGAGTACGGCTAATACCAGGCTGTAGCCCCCTGCTGCTCGGCTGCCTTCCAGCCTGCCTCAAACATACCGTGACCACGTTGTCGTTTAAAGTTGAAGGATGTCTGTGTGTGTGTGTGTGTGTGTGTGTGTGTGTGTGTGTGTGTGTGTGTGTG